TTTCCATTTATTAGGAGAAATAAACCAAAGTTATCCCATAACAGGAATAGAGAATCTTGACTTGACTAAAGAATAGAAGAATGACATTTATGTCTTTTTACCAAATTATGTCATCCAGGATGTCAACCATTATGTTACCATAGCAAGGTCCGTATTAAAAGAGCCTGTTTTGAAAGGCACTGTTCATAATAGTCAACCAAGGCGATGTCGTTCTCACTGTCATCTGCCTGTTTTCATTTCATTCCCCAACTCTCAATTTTCCTTCTCAAAATCGGCCACTTCTCGTCCAGCCATCTTGTACCGGTCCCCACCATTCATCAATCCACCACCACCGTGTCTATGGTTTCCCTTTCACCTTATTCCGAAAAGCTCCCCGTGTCTCCGGACCGTGTCTCCGTCCGAGACAAGGCGTGTCCTGTGCGCGCACGGAGCGGAGCTATATCCGTGCAGCACAGAGCGGAGACAGCTCCGTGCTGCACGGAGCTGGGAGCTGGCTCTCGACGGAGCTGCACGGAGCTGGGAGACAGCTCCCAGGGGCTGTGTGATAATTCTCTATACATACCAATTTCACTATACATACACCCCAGTTCACGATCAGCCTCTCAATTCCGTAACCTCCTTCATCTCTTCAAGAAAAAACGCCCACTGTTTTGATCAGAGAAAGGATAAATTCAAGAACCCACCAAGTGAAATCAAGAATCAAAGATGGCACTCGCTAGAGAAATCATAGGCTCTTCGTTAACGCAGAAATTTGCATTTCTTGATCCATCAAATTTTCTTGTAAATCGTAAGCACGACCAGTTCTGTTTTAATCCAGTTCCTGCCCAAAGAAAGAGATTTCAGGTGAAAAGAGCATCAAAGGTTCCTATTCTTGTCGCAGCAATCAGTGAGGATTTGGATTTGGTAAAAGTGGTGCCCGATAAAGCGGTAAAATTCAAGGTCAGAACAGTTGTTACTGTAAAAAATAAGCACAAGGAAGATTTGAAGGAAACCATAGCCAAGCGTTGGGATGCTTTGACTGACAAAATTGGGAGAAATGTGATGTTAGAATTTGTTATCACAGATATTGATCCAAGTAGGCCATTTTCGATTGCTGTAATTTTGAAGAATTTGTCAATATTGGTGTAAAATAGTTTCTTGAGAAGTTAATTTACTGTTTCATTTTAGAAAATATTGCAAGTTATAAGCATCTAATGAGATATGGAGAATTGAGATTCTGGAAATGAAGAAGAATGAGTATCATACCGTAATGCAGTGAGACATAACCCATATTTTCAAATTGAATTGTAGTGTATTTTAGTCTTTGATTCTGATCTTATGAGAAGTGAAAGCTACCAGGTCTATATATGGTTTGTGAAGTTCGAAAGTTCTGTTTGGGATCATTTTAAAGAATTGTATAATATGCGAAACCCTGTTGCGATTTTTGTTGCTTTCATGTGCCTACATGTTATCTGGTAAAGTTGCTAATTTATCCAACACCGGGTTTTCTTTACCTTCCCCATCTAACTTTTATTATGTTGTGCTGTAAACAAGTTCATTTCTCTCAAAAGGCTTCTGAGCTTGTTGTCAAATAGTAGGACTGTCTCTAAATGGCAAATGTGCATTTGGATTCCGAAATTATAAGGAGCCACATGATCACAAAGTTGGATCGCCTCAGCCTTTATCGTCCACTTTTGATCATCGTGTTGAATCACTAAAACTTGAGGATGAGATTGATCAAATTCTGCATGCACTAAGGACGTCGCAGGATTTTGAATATAGACTTGCGGAGGAAAGGCTTTTTGCTCATAAGAACTATATCCTAAATCTTTACGAACAACTTGATAAGGAAAGGTCTGACCTCTCAAGACACACATCATTGAAGGATCCAAATACCACCGTACTTGATGCTGTCCAGAGCAGAATCGACCAGATAAAGCAGGAAGTGTCCAAACTAAATGACATGGAAGAAGCAAAGAAGGGATTTGGAAGAGTTTCCAAATATATTCTCAAGGAACATTTTGGTCTAGAAATTGAGAGTTGACAAACTGCATTAGTCACTTTGAGGTGTGTGATAACCATTACCTATGTTGCTCAATGACAAATATTTTTCCAGAAAATATATGTGAAATTTGCACATTTTAGGATATTTTCTTTTATTCTTGAAATTGAATCAGAACAATTTTCCAGTCTAATCCTTTGAAGTATAGGCTTATAGTTCGGTGCTAGATAGCATGTCTTTAAATAAAGATAAATATAAATCTAGATATAAGCACATATTTAACTTCAGGCCACGTGAGATTAGTCGAGGTGCGCGCAAGCTACCGGACTTCCACTGTTATAAAAAAAAAGATATAAGTACATATTTCTTCTCTTTTTCTTAAACCAAGTAATAAACAGAATTAGGCATATGTCGCCATGAGGATCAAGCGAAATAAAGTTCGTACACAATTCAGCTGTGTCGAGGCGCTGGATATAAGTGCTATAACTTCAACCTTCTTTGTATCGGAATTAACACTAATCACTGATGTACAAATGTTTTGGACACAAAGGAATGCATCTGTTCATGTATTTTCTAGCCAGACTTCAATAGTGATGCTTCAAGCCAATTTCTGTACTCAAAGACAAGCATGATATGAGATGGTATGCCTTCAGATATTATAACCTATGGACATGAGCCAAGATTTTTGTGTGCATCATTGCCATGTATACATTCCAAAGTCAAGTTGTTTATTTTGGGCCTATTGTTGGGCCAGATTTCAGGGGCTATTACTTTTTGCATTTTTCACTTTAGTTGGACTTGTCGTGCTTTCCCGACTTCATTTGTTGTGAAGTGGTCATATCTATTTAAACATTCCCTGGGTTGCAAAAAGTGGTGCAACTCTAATGGAGATTCATGGGAAGAATGTAAGTGTAAATTTCCCGTAGTGATATCTTTGTTTATAGACATCTACTAAACGTGTTACATGCACATTTTCTTGTAAAAATCTATAGAGTCCTGGATTTGGAATTGCGAGCTTACTTTTGGTAATACTTGCGTGTTATAATTTCTACCATACGTTCTGATTTGATGAATGTCTTTTGGTCCTCCATCTGGTATATTTATTGCCTTTTACATGACTAAAATTAAAACTACTTTCATATGTTTTCTGCATGCTACCTCTTCAATCAGATCAAGAAAGTTGAGCTCAGATATAGAGGAAAGAAAAAAAAATTCCCTATAGAGGCCGCCCCGTACTCACCTAGATTCTTGGATCCGCAACTGACTATGGTAGAATAGATAAAAATCACTGGGTATAAACTTATGTTCGTCATTTAAAAAAGATGATGAATAAATAAATAATCTTAAACTGTACACTATACAGTCTCACAAGAGTGCCAATGCTAATACTGACAAAATTTGGCTGAATGATCCTACTGTTTGAGAGCCCTTTCTTTAAATAGAGAAGCGTGTACAATCTAAATATGGTAACAAGACTAATTACAATAATTTACAATCAATCATATATAGGTATTTATAGTAGATGCAATCTCTGTAATCTTTGTCGTTTCTTCAATCTCATTGACATCCCCCCTCAAATTGACGCTGGACGATCAAGAAGCATCAATTTGCCGACAATAAACTGATGACGCTGCCTCGTCATTGCCTTAGTAAACATATCAGCGATTTGAACATCAGTGGTGACGTGTGGAAGGGAAATAATGTGACCATCATAAGCCTCACAGATGGAGTGACAATCCACTTCAATGTGTTTAGTGCGCTCATGAACACAGGATTAGCAACAATCTGAATGGCACTTGTATTATCAGCATAAAGTGGAGTAGGCCCAAGTTGAGGACAACCAAGCTCCGATAAAAGGACTCGGAGCCAAACGATCTCAGAGCAAGCAGAAGACATAGCACGAAACTCAGATACAGTGGAAGATTTAGAAACACGATCCTGTTTCTTGNAGAAATTAGTGCACCTCCAAGAAACATGCACCAACCTGTAATTGAGCGACGAGTGTCCACACATCCAGCCCAATCTGCATCACTATATCCGATCAACTCAAGAGAAGAATTTGCAGAAAAGAAAAGACACCTAAGTATCGTATAATTCGACGAACGACAGTCAGCTAAAGATGTCAGGGAGCATGCATAAACTGACAAACCTGTTGGATGGGAAAAGAGATATCTGGTTGAGTAATAGTGAGATAATTCAAATTACCTACTAACTGACGATAGAGAGAGGGATCAGGAAGGAGATCTCCTTCCTCCGACGGTACTTCACATTCACCTCTAAAGGAGTATCAACCGAGCGACCATTGCGAAGTCCAGCCAAAGTAATCAACTCCTCCAAATACTTGTGCTGATGTAGATAAGTTCCGGCTGGACTTGAAAGCACCTGAAGACCTAAGAAATATTGTAAGGGACCCAAATCCTTCATATGGAAAGAATTCTTCAAATGGGTTTGAAGTTGAGAGATCATCCCAGAATCAGTACCAGTAATAACAATATCATCAATATATACCAAAAGAAGGACAGTACCCTCTTCGGTGGTTGAGATGAAGAGAGACGAGTCATATTTACTCTGGGTAAATGAGTAACCCAAGAGAGTAGAACGAAACTTATCAAACCTAGCACGAGGAGTTTGTTTCAGCCCATAAAGTGAACAATTTAGTTTACACACATCAGAAGGTGGCAACGAAAAGAGTAAGGATTCTTTTTCAGAGGCATCACGAAGATACCGAGTACTCTTGGCCTTCAATTCGATATTTCTGACTAGCAAGGAGAGGATCTCAGAATGGATAGTCTTCAACGTCACCTTAAAGTCAGAGGAAACACTGAGTGACGGAAGTGTGAGTGCTTGTGCCAATTTCGTACTCAAAAGCTCAAATGCATCCTTTTGTTTGGAAGCTATAGCCGTACTAATATCCATATCCATGAAAGCAACATACTCAAGCACTGATTGCTTGAGAATCTGCATATTTTCCTATGAGAAAGCAGAAGATAAAATGGAAGGATGACTGGTTGAAGAAGGATAGGATGTTTTTACTTGTTCCCAAGAAGTAAACAAGTCCTGGATGGAACGCACAATAAACGAAGTGAAGAAAGATGCCAACGTTCAGTACTTTCACCACAATAAACGAAGTGAAGATGAAAGAGAGGCAAAAGGTTACCTCATCAGCAACTTTGGAAAGTTCAGGCACGTCACCAGTTGGTTCCACCTCTTGTGGAGACTTCCCCTTATCTGGGCGAGTAGACTCTGCCACAAGGGCAGGTCCATGGAAATCTCTGCAGAATTCAAGAAGCAATGAATCGAAAACCAATAGCAGAAACAAGGGTGAAAATATCAAAATATGTTCTACCTTCTGGTTCGACGCTTGGGGGGTCGACGTCCTGTGGAGATGGCAACTCTTCAGCTGGTTCTGATAAAGACTCCGGGACTAAGGATGTCTTTTTAAGCATGATCCTTTCATCAGCTGATGAAGCAGCTTCAGTAGGAGGCGATGGAGCAGGATCTGCTAAAACCAGAGCCTTCGAAAGGGAGGCTGAACTCTTCTGGAAAATTCAGGTAAAGCATTAACACATGAAAGATGGTGTTTCATGAATGAACAAACTCAATTACCTTTCTCTTAAGGATACGAGGTGTATCATCATCATCAACTTGCAAAATGGGAGAAGCTGAAGCTGGCCGTTTGCGGCTGGGGGCACCTTTAGCGGTATTAGCCTGAGTAGGCGGAGAAGCAGATGGAAAAATAGGACGTTTAACGCGAACATGTGAGGAAGGATTCCTAATGGACACATGGGTGACCAGAAGGGGAGAAATAGAGGAAGTGTCTGGCCGATCCAGTGAATGGAAAGCACGATTAGCATCAGTTGTAAACAATCTGCGTTTCACTGATGATCAGAGCTGTTCAAAAAGGGGATGAACAGCAGAACTAGAGTTGAAAGGAGCTAATGAGAAGTTGCTTGTCAAAAGAATGTTGCGAGCATCTATAGTTTGTGCTTCTGCTTTATTAATAGTATGAAAACGGTCCGTCAAACTTTTAGAGTAACAAGGAGGAACCGGCCAGGTTTGGCCAAAAACAAGTTGACGAGCAAAGAATTGGGGAGCATATATTCCAACCCCGACCTTGGCATTTGTCCATGTAACAATATCATGGAAAAATTCTCTCCCGATCAAAAATTGGACCCAAATGGGCAAATAGGTGCCCACTTCAGCCAAAGGAGAAGGAAACCGCACATAAAGAAGGATTTGATGAGGAGAAAAAGGGAAAAATGAAGGTGTTGAATTCAAAGTATAAAAGAATGTAAAAACGTCCCTACTGGACATATTTACCGGGCTCAATTGGTGAATGAACAGCCCATAGCAGCTGACTGTTCGGGGAGGAGATGGTGGAGCACCAAGTTGTGGAAAATAAGCTCTCAACCACAATTGAGTAAGCCAAGAGAGGCCCACTGCCAGTGGGAGACGCACCATTCCTCAATTGGAATTGAAGAGAAGCCATGCCTCTATAAAAGACAGCCAAAAAGAAGGAACACAAATTCAAAGACCTGCCACGTGCTAATTCATGCGATAAAGGCAGATAACTCATGGAGGGTTTCAGGTTGGGAACACAAAGAACATATTTACAAAGCCAGACCTGAAGGAAGGCAATACGCTCAGCATGATTAGGCTCAGAATTGGAAGCAGTATAAAGGCCTTACATGCTTGAGTAAGATTCAGCAATTCTCTTGTCAAACTTTGGGGCAACACTGGAAATCAAAATGCCAGGAAAGATAGTATCGCCCAAAGGCGGAAGGTTCACTAGGGCTCCAACATCCTTTAGAGTAATGGACATTGGGCCAAGAGAGAAAACAAAAGTGTTATACTCAGAAGACCAAAAACTCAGAGCGATTGGAAAAAGCACTGAGTCATAAGTTGGGGAAAAAATGGTAATTTCCAATAGGTCCAAAATCTTAGCACGATCAAAAATTGTTTTGGTGGGACCATGATTTACCATACGTGCATGTCATCTATGAAAACTAGGATCAATTTTTGGCAAAGTACGAATATCTTTGTCGCGGATTGGCTTCAATGGCAAGGAGTTCAGAAAATGAGGGTCTTCAGTGCAAGGAAATAGCTGACCCATCGCCGCCTTTCCTACCGATTCAGCATCATTGAATGAAGGGCCTAGATAAAACTCGCGAAGGTCAGGGTTGGCTTCTGAAATAAAGTTTGGATTTATGTACGGCCTTGTAAGGAGATTTTGGAAATCATCAAAACTGAAGGAATCATCGGAAAGAGTTTTAAAAGTCGTCATTTGATGCAAAGTACAGACGTCATGAAGGATTCGTAAGAAGCGTAGTGAGGAAGTAAAACGATGAACAGTGATCTTATAGAAACACACGATGTAAAGACGTAGAGGTAATGGCGCGATGAAGTGGCACGTCTTTTGGGTTAATAGGGGTTTTGCAACGTTACACCTTTTCAGGGAATAGAAGGGTTACCGCCAAACGGAAATAATGATTGAAATTCTTGAGAATTTCAAATATTGCCGGAAAATACAAAGGAAGAATATTGCAAAAAATTAATAATTGATATTAATTTTGCCATATTGGGGGGTAATTGTTGACATACAAAATGTGTAGCCTAAAATTGAACAGTCTAAGAGAATGAAGGCCCAAATAGAACCGTTAAGGAATGTAGTAAAGGCCCACGAACAAAGTACCATCATCGCCCAAACTTGTAAGACGCCCAAGATCTTAGCGAACGGAGTGCCTTACTATCGCCCAGAGTGATGAACCCGCTCTCGCCCAAACCCTTAAGTCGCCCAGTGACTGAACAAATCTAAGGTATCATAGTTATCCAATACAACAGTTATTGAAGCGGTTATTGAGCAAACTTATCACACCCCACGATCCAAGAATTCCAGTTGTGGGCTGTTAAATAGCAAGAGTAATGGCAACGGTTATGAGATAGCAGTTCCATGACAAGTCAGCCATGATGAAAAAATGGACAGTTATAGAACGACAAACAGTCTTCGAACAGTTTTTGCAAGAGGAACTGTCCAAGGAGTATAAAAGAGACAAGAGAACATGAAAGAAGGAGCCCGAATCAAACACTCTCAACAGAGAATATGTAATTTCAATTTCTTGGTTTAAGCTTTAAAATACTTCTTTTAGTACTCGTGTGCTTGCGCCCCTTGGAGGCATTCTGTTTATTTTCAATTGTAATCTTCATCAATAAACACCCATTTTTGGGATTTTGTCTCAAGAGGTTCCTTACACAATCGTTTGAACCCATTTTTAATTGTTAGCGATAATCCGCGCGAAACACTACCTTACCTAATTATTCCCCATGTGGTTATCTAATTTTATAGGTGTATTTATGTAGATTTGTATATCATGTATCCCCACCCCTTGCCTATTCCCAAACAACTAATGTCTTTGTTTGTGCCAACATTTATCTAGGTGTTAACTATGTGAAAGTTTAAACCTTGTGGCCTTAGATGGTTTACAAGTTATGTTTTTTATTAAGTATTTATATTTAAAAGTAAATAAATCCGTAAGTAGGTCAGCGGAATATTCTACCAAAAAGTGAAAGCCGGGAAAGTTCTTAATGTTTTGACATAGCTAAAATTGGAGATGAAGAAGTTGAATGAGGGACGAGATTCTGTTTGTATGTCTGTGTACATGTGTGTATATATGCAAATGAATTGAGATTCTGATATTTCTGCGTGGAAATAATTGTGTAAGTTGTTGTATCGATTGCCGGTTACCCCAAGTCGAAGAAGAAGACTTTCGTCGACAAGGATTACGGTACCCATCCAAAGTGGAATCATCAAATGGATTTCGTCGTTGATGAGCCGTATTGACGAAGCCTGGCCTGTCCCTTCACTTCCAGCTCATGGCAGATCGGTCTATTGGAGGGGACAAGGAGGTTGGCGAGGTCACTGTCCCGATCCACGAGCTTTACCAGAATGTCAATTCGAATCTCGGCGAGGAAAAGGTTGTTGAATATCAGGTTAGAATCTCGTCAGGAAAACCCAAGGGCAACATCAAGTTTTCGTATAAATTTGGGGAGAAATTCACTTAAGCGCTTGAGAATTTTCTTGCCACCCCTTTTCTCTATTATTATAGGCCATTATAAGCTTCCATTTTTAGTCATCTGGTTTTCGTTTTTAGTATTCAGTTTTAGAGTTTTTAGGCGGTCATTTGTTTGATCATTACCTGAAGAAGCTGAGATTTGAGGGCCTGCTTGCATTATAGGTCTGTGTTTTTATTAGAGTCTTGTGATATATGTAGTTTCAGTTGTGAAACTTTTGGGTATGGAGGATTTGGTTTCTTTTTTCGAAATCCTAACTATATAAAACGAACCTCGTTGACACTGTTCATTGGACACCTGTCCATAAATTGAATCGTAAACCAACACGATGTCCTTTGGTTGTTTCTTACTTGTCTCAAACGAAGAACTCTTCTGCAAAACTCAAAACCATGAGGAAAGCCACTAAAACGAGGAAACCTCTGCCAAAATCAAAACCTTTCTACTCGCTTGTCGTTTGGTTGTTTGTCACTCATCTTCTGCTCGTGAAACAAAACGAGGAAACCCTCTGTAAAATCAAAGAAACTTCCCCCCTTGTGCCGAAACGAGGAAACCCTCTGCCAAAATCAAAATCCAAAATCTTTCTGCTTGTTTGCGCAGGACAATGATAGGCGAAGGAGGATTTTGGGAAGGAGGGAGTTTTGTTCGGGAGAGCAAATATAAAGGTTCGTCTATTTTCTTGCAGTTCTTTGGTATCTGTTACTGCTTATATGTTTTTGTGTGTCAAAATTTTTCCTAAACAAGAACTTATTATGGCATTTCTGCTACGTGGATGTTCAATTCTACCTACTGTTTCTTAGTCTTACCTTGCCGTAATACTTCATCTCAGTCGTTTGAAACTAGAACTTGATTTCTTTCAAATTAATAAGAAAAATCTTCCAAAGTTCCAGGAATTTGTTCTCTTCGGAGGCTAAACCTTCTCTTTTAAGAGAGTTGCTTCATTGGATTTGTGATGCTGATATGGCTGCTAATCTTATATTTTATTGTTCTTCTTTTTGGATGGTTTTGTCCTGTTCCGTGCTGTTCTGGGGTTTTTTTGGCCGTGATAGAATAGTTGTAGTGCATAAGTGTGTAATTTTATGGTACCAAGCATGACCTATTATCTGTTGTTTGGATTTGCAGTTGTCAGTTCAAGAGTTCCCAGCAAACTCTTCTGTTATGGATTTGCTGGAAAGGGCTGGTCAAGGTAGTTTTAGATGGACACCGTATGGATTCCCTCTTAAGGAGGAGCTAAGGCCTTGGCTGAACCATGAACAAGTCAATGATCCCACCTGCAAGCTAAAAATGGGCGATGTAATTGAATTAACTCCGCCCATACCAGATAAGTCTTTAACAAAGTGTCGGGAGGAGATACAGCGCATGTATAATTGTGGTGTTACTATATCAAGCACAGTGCTTGCTGCCAGTAGGCCCAGTACTATGGGTAGCTTGATAAGTTGATCTCTATTTTTTTTTTCTTTTGTTGTACAACATTCAATTTGACACTGGTGACTCCTGTATATAGATGTTCAAACATTAAAAAGAACTGCTCTTACAAAGAAAAATGGTAAGCCAGAAATTGTTCCTTAAAAATCAGATGAATGCTGTTGATTTCGCAAATTCATTTGCCCTTGTGATGTTATGAGCTACTGTTAGGAACCAGATTATGAAGTTGCATAGAAGTGTGATTTATATTGGTAAATTGTTTAATGGAAGTGCTAAACATTTGATTTGCAGAGTAGAGCATTTTATTGAATGAACTCACTGGATAGCCAGAGTAACTACATTATCGATTCACTGTCCAGAGCATCGGCTGCTATGTTGCTGATTTTCCAAATAGCCATCACTATCTTTTGTTTTACCTTGCTGAAAAACTAAAAGCAGTTCTCAACCACATTTGATAACAAGAAGCAAGTTGCTCTCTTATCTCCAGAAGAAGTGTTGCGCGGAGGCTTGGCATGAAAGTACAAACATAAGCATAATCAAAATTTCGGCAAAGTTCTGGAGTTTCTGGGTTTGCATGAAAATAACCGAATTACCCCTAATGAAACTTCTGTTTCTCCCAATCTTTATCAGGTAAATTTGCTTTTATATTTTTATCCTCCTACCCCACTGATCATACTTCCTTGGGTTTTCTTGTCTGAAAATTCCAAAAACAATTGTTAACATGCAGGAAGTGGAAGTAAATCTTGTTATTACAGACTATTGTATGCCTGGGATGTCTGGCTATGCTTTGCTCAAGAAAATTAAGGTATATTTTCTTGGACAGATGAATTTCCTTCCATGGAAAATATGCCTCTTACAAAATTTTCTCAATTTAATATGTACTATTTTCTGATAGATGTAAATATGTAATTCTGAAAAGCTTGCAAACATGGGGTCCTTTTCCCTAATTGATTGTTCGGTAAGTTGGATCGGATAATAATAAAGAAGAGACGACCTAAAACTTTATAAATTGTGCCATGAATCCTATATAATATCGAGTATCCGTCCTTATTGAAGTAAAGAACGAAATTATGTTGCCCTATCAAATAGGATAAACTTTTAGATTTTCATTGGCTAAAAATGAATCCACCCTACAGTGACGTGACGCTCTTAAGACGAGATCTGAATGAAAGTATATTGCTCTGTTATTAAAAGTTTACACCTGATAGTTAACAGTTTTCTTTTTACTAATTTACACCCTATAAAGTAAAAAGAAAATAGTTTTGACATTAAAAGCAGGTTAAATGAATTTATGGGCTTCCTTTTCGTGACGGGAATCATCATCTCTGAAGAACATACCAGTAGTCATAATGTCATCTGAGGATGTTCCTTCAAGAATCAGCAGGTAAGGGTGAAGATGTAAATTCCTGTATAGACATCACATATATTTTCATTAATGCAGTTCATTATTGTTTAATTGTATTAGTTTGATGTCTCTGAAATACGTTTTTTTAATAACTACATGCCATTAAATGTCAAAAAATGGAGGAAAAAGAAGGGGCGGAAGGGAATTAAGTACAAAAATAAAGTCTGTCCCCTTCAAGTTTTACGAAATTAAGTACATTTTTAGATGGATATTTCAATGTTGGTTTTTCTTTCTGATTTTGGTACCCTATGTTCCACCCCATAAAAACACAAAAAACGACCTTCAAACTTCCCTCTCCCTTTTTCTTCTTCCATAGCCGCTGGCACTTGAGTCCTAGATATAAGATATCCCAATCTAAACAAACCACCAGAAAGATAATGTTTGGTTAAGCTTAAAATGTTCACTTATAAGTAAAGAATTGAGCTTTAGATTAGTACTTTTTTATTGATTGAAAATGAATATTTTGATGCACCTAGAAAGCAATAGTCCCTCAAAACTTGGTCGAATATCAGCCCCCGACTTTATGCACCATCTTCCATCAATATTACTTAATTCTTGAACCAAGAAAAAATAATAGTTTAATAAATGACACATCAAATTATAAATATGAGCACACTTTTCCCATATTTGTGCCAGACAAGAAGCACAGCTTACCAAAATGGATGTTTCTTTCACTTCATTCCTAATCATGCTCTCAAGCAACTGATATAACTGAATAGAGAAGAGAATACAATAGCAAACAATCAGAACTTCCAGTTTCTTGGATTTGAGGGAAGCTACAGTAATTCAAAAAGAACTGTGACATTCTCCTATTGGCAATTTGGCATAAAAGCTTCATTTAAAAAAGAACGATTAACCACTTTTTAGTCTATATAGGTAGTCATCTTTTAACTGATGTAATTTTCTATCTTGGAGTCATTTGGAATTTAAATTTTCATAGTTTTGATGAGTGTGGTTGAATATGATAACTGTTCATTACGTCTATTATAAATGTGTTCTATATTGTGGATATGTTCAATAGTCTTTCTTGAATTTACGACATTAGACAACTATTTATTACATGACTGGCAATTATATTAGGAAAATCATTTGCCACCTTATCTCAGAAACGGGACTTGACGATTTTTTTCTAGAAAGTTCTGTAATCTAAATGGATAATGATCCATATGGTGGGAAAAAAACAACTTTATGTGTTCCATTTGTTACATTTATATGTACACATGATGGCATTATTCATAAGCAAAATTAAATAATCAAACTCAGAAACATAGTAAGTTGTAAATTCGTATGCCTTATCAGAGTGTGAAGTTGAGGGAGTGAAAACACATTTTGCTTGAACCTTCATTGCTTGCCTTCTCACAGAAGTCTTTATCTTTTACAAGTTTGGTTAAAAATTATTGAATGTCGTCATAGTTAATGTTCATTTTTCGCTTTTGTACTTCATCATCTTAATTTCTTCTACAACTTATTGAATTTTCAGATAAGAAGGTATGTTTATGAAGATGTTTTTGTGCTTAAAAGATGCAGAGAAATTAATGGATTGCTCCTTTGTTCAAGTAAGCATGTTCCACCCCAACTTTAGATAAGAAGGTATGTTTATGAAGATGTTTTTGTGCTTAAAAGATGCAGAGAAATTAATGGATTGCTCATTTGTTCAAGTAAGCATATTCCACCCCAACTTTAGAGTTTGCCTACGCATATTTTATTTCTTATTTAAAGTTAGGTTGCACATAAACTCCTAAAATTTTACTTCAATCGGACACCTTTGGAAATAAGTTATAATGCCTTTTCTGATATGGTGCAATCGTCTTCTCACTTTCAGATTTGCAGTCTTGCGCAAAGTTCACATTCTTTGTGTATCTAATTCGAAAATTGAATGAATTGGGAGTAGGAAATGTAGTGACAGTTGATCGACCAACTGTGTATATAGAGTTTGTTTTGTTATTTCTTTAATGGCGATCAATGTCCTCTTTCATAAAATATGGAAGAGCCACAAATTGACAAACTAAATCCCAGTTCAGTGGATTTCATTATGTACACGGAACATAAAATATGGATGTTAAGTTAAAATTATTGGGTTTTTAAATATCAGCAGTAGATGGTCCATCTCAAACTATAGAGTCAACATATTTTTAGATGAATTTAATATATGTTTTATTTGCGGACTTGTTTCTAATTATGAAAAGGAAAGTTCATTTGAAATTGTGCAGCCATTAGAAATTGAACTTCTCAATAATTCTATTGATATCAAATAAATTGAGCTACATTTAGTTATGAATTTATTTTTCCCCATGGCAAAAGTTGATGCTATTTTATCTATGACAAGCTTATAGAAAGAAGTATAGGGTTTGGTTTCATCACTCATCCTCCAGATCTTCTATCAGTTTAGATCCGACTTTTGTCAAAGACACTTTTGGAAATGGTAAATTTGATGTTTCCACCTTAGATAGCTAGAAATTGCTTCTTAATTAATTGTATTCTAATATATGTATAGAATCTATTACTTTGGCAAGTAGGGTACCTATTTTATTTAGAATGAACATTTAGTTATAAAATTCTTAGAACCTTATTATAGTAGCCACTACATATTTTAGAGTGTGGATGTGGCGAATTCCCATATTTTCCTTACCTTCAAAAGAAAAGAAGTTTGTGTTGCTGATTTCTTTTTGGCAATTGGATAATGAATTTGGTTATTTGCATTATGGCAGAGATCATGGTGACATGTCATCGAAGAAGTTTCGTCATGATAAGCGTGTCAATCTAGGAGCTCTCAAGTTTGTTCCACGTGCTGTTTACAAGCTCCTTGAAAACATGCCCATGCCATGGGAACAGGTACTTGTGTGTTCAATCATTCCTCAGTCATTGAAAATTCACATGAATAATTTTCTGATGTGGATCATTTGAGCAATTGTTTGACGTTTGTATTAACTTCCTATGGTGTTTCTCGGATAGGTCCGTGAAGTGAAGATTCTCTACCATATTACTGGTGCTATTACATTTGTAAATGAAATACCATGGGTTGTTGAACCCATCTATCTGGCTCAGTTATGCTTCTATTTCTGCACATCCCTTTTTGTTGTATATTTGTTGGTCTCAAGTGTTGCTCCATTGCTCATGACGTTACCTCTCTGTTTTTATTACAGTGGGGTTCTATGTGGATCATGATGCGAAGAGATAAGAGAGATCGACGACATTTCAAAAGAATGCGTTTTCCACCTTTTGATGATGAAGAACCTCCACTAGATTATACTGATGTTGCTGTATGGGTCGAAGATGACGAAAATACAAATGTTCGCGTTCATGATATTACTATGCATCCTAGCCCATTTTCATCTGTTCTAGAGGAAACATTTCTTCTGTTTCTTATGTTATAAGTTGATGCTACCCAACTGCTGAAAAGCCATATGCATATCAGTACTAAAATTACATTGAATAATTATGCACAACAGAGAGATTAAATATATATATTTCACAACAGAGAGATTAAACATACATTTCAGGGATTTTACATATTAGGTTTGTATTATGCATCTCCAACCTTTGCATCAGCAATGTAGAACTCGGTTCCCGCTATTACTTTCATCATGGCTTTGACCTTTGGGTATCAACACCTCCACTCCAACCTGTGTATTAACAAGTCGAATTTTCCAATAGCTTACTTATGATTGAATTTCTTTTTTCTTTTTTCAGATGTGAGCAAGTTAATATTACAAGGAAGGACGAATTGGCGAAAATTCTAGGGACCATAGCAAGGGTAGGAGGTGCTACTATTATAACTTTCTATGAAGGCACTCTGATTTTGTACCAGGCATCACAACCAGTGGGAAGTAATTTAGAAGAAGGCAGTTTCTTTAATACAACTAAATTACAAAACTGGACATGGGGCTGTATATTTTTACTTGGTCACTGCTTATCATGGGGTGGTTGGATGGTCCTTTAGGTAGGCCTATAATATACTTAATGTACCTACACGGATTACAATAATATTAAGCTAATTACTGTTCACACCCAAGGTAATTGTTATCCAAACTCACAATCAAAGTTACTGATCAAGACTCAATAATAAACTTTGCAGGCTCCTATTCTGAAGAAATACCCTGCCAAACTCTCACTCACCTCGTTTACGTGCTTCTTTGGATTGATCCAGTTCTTATTCATAGCAGCTTTTGTATAAAGGGGTCCTAAATATTGGAAAATTCATTCCGCGGAGGAGATATTCACAATCTTATATGCTATAATATCTTCAAACTAAATTGCTTATGGTTTACTTGTAATTTTTCTCCAGTAGAAGCTCTGCAACCTTTGAGTTCATTTCAAGGAATTATATCTTCTGGTATAGTCATTGCTCTTCAGACCTGGTGTATTCAGAAAGGAGGGCCGGTTTTTGTTGCCAGCTTCCAGCCAGTTCAAACAGTTTTAGTCGCGGCATGGCATTTGTAATCCTTGGTGATCAATTATAATCTGGCGAGTATGTTATGGAAATGGCATTTAAAGCAAGCTGTGTGAGCCGTGACTTGATTAATCAATTAACTGTAACCATTCTTCTTGTTCAAGCTTTCATGTATATTACTTTTGGTTTGCAACAAATACATTTTTAATTGAAACTCTTATTATTAGAATACTAATTTTTCAGGTAGAGTTTTGCTATTTAAACTCGAAGGCCAACAGGAAAAAGCTTCTGGGAGCTTTGTTCAATGTTCCTAGGACATCTCTTGACCTATTGCCATACTATTCACGAATGGTTACCACACTGTCAACTTATATGAAGGATATCTGTTCCAGGCTTTTACAGTTATTGGAGGAAGAATTCAACTTTTTAATAAATAAGAAGGTTAACAAAGTCCTTTTACATGCATTACTCTGTTTATTATTTTTTTGTTGATCACAGTCTATTAATTATTTTATTACCTTTTTCTTCTTTGATTTCAGGATCAAATAAACATTGAAACAAAGATGAGCAACATACATTTTATTGGAAAACTTTGCAAGTTTAAACTTGCATCAACGACCTTGTTTTCAGTCGTCTAAAGGTATGATAATAAAGTATTTGAATTTACAAGATCAAAATACAATTTTCTGGGATAATATTTGTTTATCTGACTACTGTAATGGAGACAGAAAATCCGATAATTGTTTTAATATCAGATATCTTTTTCTATGATTAAGATTTTGCTATGATATATTTCCAACTATTGCAATCACATTTCGCTTTCTCCAGTGTATCTAATCTCAGACATTATACGCCAACTGATAATAGACTTCACAGCTTCTTATCATTTTTGAAGGAAAATGGAGTCAACCTGGATGAAGTTGAGGTATGTCACCTACATTTTGTGTTCCACAGACTATCACATGCACAGCCTTGACCATGGCTCTTGCCTTTTGCCATCTTCCTGTAAATTATTTGATAAGTAGCATTCGGGACTGCAAAAGGGTTGAATTGATTGTGCGGATGTTTAGAACTATTACTCTTTCAGATATTCTTCAAAAATTGCTAAAATGCACACACATTAATATATAGTACAAAATGATAATAGAATTGTGTATCTTTTCAAAGCTGTTTAGTTCTTTTTTTTCTGTTTTTTGTTCATGTAATTGTGGTTCTGGTTTTTGTGTGAGATATAACAAATAGTATTAGTGAAAATTCCCCCACTAATATGCAAATTCTAGTGCGTCTATGATTGAAGTATACAAAATGACAACGGATAAAATCACAGGAACTAACCATTGCTATTTAAAATATAGTTTCTGATAAATAAGCATACCATCCTGCGATCATCAGGAGGTAGATAGTGTTGATATACACAATTAGTTCTGAATGTAATATTTGCTATAGAGGTTTCTTCAATGGGCTTGTTGTTCTCTCAGTAGCTCACACTAAGTTTCACTTCTGTATGTTAATCCTTTCTTAGTATTTACATCGTAAGTAATATCCCTTGTCTTATGTATCAAATGCAAAAGGCAAATGATGATTACAAGAGTTATGAAAGCAGAAAACCTGCTAAAGATTAGTCTGCGACTGACGTTTCATCAATCTCAAATTCCATTCAACCTGATATTCCCAACAAATAGGAAAAACACCCTTCTTCAGAAGCAACCAAAGCTCCTAAGGCTGAAACTAAAGTCAAATACAAGAGGGGCCTTGAAGCAAATGTCCCACAGAGAGCAATATTGCAAAGGATTAATTCCAAGAAGGCCGCCAGTTCATATTTATAGAAGTTCATAGATAAAATATGAGTTATTAAATAACATTTATGTACATATTCAGATATATAATATTTTTCATTGATCTAAATAAATAAGTTACTATAAAATATATTTTTAAAATAACTGTCTTTTACCTTAAAAAATAAATAAAGTAATATTCTCAACCATATTTGAAATAAAAAGTTTTTACACAAAGCAAAACTACATTATTCATCCCAAGCTATGTAATGGTATTAAGTCTTGGTTACTAACTTTATATACAATGCTTTAGTTTCAGTTGTTTGAACATTTTATTAGTCTTGGGTGCCTTTTTTCAGAAGATCAGTTGTATGAATTTGCAATCCTTTTTCTAAGGCCATAACATACATACATTATAATATAAAATCAGTTTATTTTTCCATTGTAAGGAAGATTAACTAACAAAAGAATCAATTCATACAATTACTTATGATTTATACTCCTTCAAACATTACATTACTTATAGTAAAAAAATACTTTACAATCACTTCATGCTATTAATTATCCAACTACACTGCAGCATGTGCATTGCACGTGTGTAAGCTAGTTCTATACAAAAAAATGAGGCTCATAAAAAGATGTGGTGTGAATGTAACCACTCTAATTTTTATTCTTAGTTTACAGTTTTTGTCCTTTATCTTTTGGAAGAATCATAATTATTATGATATAATTGCCATTGTCATTGTCAAGCTGTAATGGTCCTAATTGGTTGTCTAATAGGGTTCGGAGCGACTTGAGCCAATTCTTGAGTTTTTTTTTTTTTTAAACTCTAAAAATATGGAAATCTTAATCTATGTTTGTTTTATTTTATATAAATGTTCAAATAATTTTTTATTTATACATTTCGAGTGATATCTACTTATCCAACTTTCATTTATATTTATTTATAATTTAAATAACTTCTAAATGCTTTTTTACTTGTAATAATCAAGAGCTTGGACATAATTTTTAAATTGATCGTTTAAACTATTTATAGTTTAATTTTTAATGAGATTTCATGATTATCTAGTTTCTTTTTTGGTCAAAACACTTGAGCTTCGTAGTTCATCCAAGCTCTCTAACGCTTAAGTTATGGTCAATCCGAAGTTCAGTTTTGACAGTTACATTCATCTCAAAAATCTATAGTTTTAGTTACAACAATCAAATTTGAGTTTTATATAATCTTAGTTGATGCTCAATTCAAATTTGTTCAAGCTCAAAATCGTCATACTTTATTCAAACTTGTTGGAGACCTGCAATCTCGATTTTTAAGTTCAAGATTAGGTTACTCAAATGATGATATGATTGAATGCCAATGTATACCATGAAATTGTTAAAATATGACGCAACAAAATTTAAAACTTTCTGCAAGAATTAAGCCCAATTCATCACCGTCGATTGCTACGTTGAATGTGACCATGCACATATAGTAGTAAGTAGTAACACAAATTTGCAAATTGGAGATAAAATCAAAGTGGAATAATTCCATGGTTTGCCCAAAATGAGGATAAAGCTTTAATGAAAGCAACCTAGGGAATAAAATTAGTTTGAAAATAAAAGCAAACCCTAGTTAACAGAGATGGATGGGCTGGATAATGCTACGTGGGTCCAAAGTTCATTGACGTACGCAACCGGTCCCCGGTGGTTTCAAGGACCACGTTCTTAATAATTTGTGGACATCGTTCAATTGAAATCCTTATGATGGTCTGGTGAACGTCACATCTTCATTAAATCAGGGCCTACCAGCAGAGGGCTGAGCGGCCCAATAGACTTGTGGCCCATTCAATGATGGAATGGGCCTGGATATGTAAACATCATTTTTTACCTTTTCTTCACTGGAAAAAAAAGGATAGAGAGAGAGAGAGAGAGGAAATTAGAGAGACCATGTTTTCAAGTTTCCATTATAGAAAATCATGTATTATATTTTTTATTCATATATCAAGTATTTTGGTCAGTTTAAAAAATATTTTAATCTTGACTCCAATCCCGTTAATTGTTTATTCGAAGAGACAAACACTTATTCATATTCTTCTCCAGCGTCATTGTGAAAAAGTCACATGTATATACTAATTGTTGTATCTCATTTTTACAAGTTACGCATGCTTACAATTCATTGGCCCGCTTTATTGGATAAAGACTTGTTGTTTTTTATATTCAAGTACACGCTTGCAATCCATTGGCCGAAAAGTCGTACGCCCCGCCTTGTTGAATGCTTAATTATGTCACCAGCAGCAAATATGGACGCATTGTTTATAAATGATTGCCTTGTGGCCTTTAGCCATTGAATCTCTCTAATTGTCATGTTGCTCAAGTTAAATTGACTAATAACCAACCCTCATAAGCCATAGACGTGCTTAGATTTTGGGTGCTGTTCTATTGGCCAAAGACACGCTTCCCTGAAAAATAAACTTAAAATATAATTAATTCGATAATCTTCGTAGACCTTTGTCGAAGATAATGCTTCTCTAGTCGTAAATGTGTTTGGACTTTGAGTGTTGTTCTATTGGCCAAAGACACGCTTCATTGAAAAATAAACTTAAAATATAATTAATTCGATAATCTTCTTAAAGCTCTGTTGAGGATAATACTTCTCTCTTCTATTGCCGTGTCAAATTGGTAAGCTATTAGGTTCAAATCTTAGGATGAATTATATATTTATAAAAATTTCAAATTCTTAATTGTCAAATCTCATCTTGAATCATTCTAGTAAGCTTGTATCATGACATTTGCCGATAATAAATGTCAACTTGACGTAAGATCCTCGGTTGAGATTAACATGCCATGACTATTAACAAATTTTTTTTTTTTTTTAAATGACATAATCTTCTTTCAAGAGACATAAGGTTGACGCTTGGTGCATCTTTTAAATAGTTATAATTCATTTTTTTTTTTATAATATTAACTCAAGTCCAATTATAAATTGGCCCCATCCGAAATTTTTAATTATCGATTATCAAGTTAGTCTTGAGTAGGTAGTGTTTAGGTCCATCCTGTTTGATACTCTAATTCCTTGTAATGAATATTTTCGAAGAGACGTGTTACAGAGATTCAATAAAATTACTCATTTATCATTTTTTGTATCAGTATTGATAAAGTTTATAATAAACTTAACTGTACAAAAAGGCATCTTATTTTCATATTGGATCGAGCAAAATGATCTAATCTATTAACCATTCTTGGCACGCAATGTCCAAATAAAAGGCACTAGAGAGAACATTAGAAAAATCTAATCTTGAACCTTCCACGATAGTTGCACAATTCCATCTCTAACAGCAAGAAATTAGAAATAATGATAGACACATAGGGGCATATTGTTAAATAATTGTCATAAACACATTATTTAAAACTTTTGGACATCAATCAAAGTTGCACATATTTTATTGTGTGCGGGCCCCCCTCCATGTGAGGGGGGTGTAAACTATTGTGTACACCATTGTGTACACATAGCATAGTCCAAAAAATAAACTTCTTCAAGATTACTAGGAAACCATTGTGTACACCATTGAGCATGCTTACGGTGCGTTTGGTTTGCTTTTTTTTTTTTTTTGTAATTCTAGAATGTTTACTTAATTGGATTTAACAAAACAAATAAAGTTCTAAATTTTCTTTCCTGTTATTTAGGGTGTGTTTGATCTGCTGTTTCCAAATTGATTTCAGTTTTCGATTTTGCAAAACACCTGAAACTTATTTGATCTGACATAAAATTTTGAAAACTCTCAAAACATAGAAAACAAACATTTATATAAAATTCAAAAAAAATAAATTCAAAAAATAAAAAAAATTGATAATAATGAGAAATAAAAAAATAAAAAATTTGAAAAAATAGTGTCTAAAATTCTAAAAATATAAATTCTAAAAAAAAAGGTCAAAAAATTCTGAAAAATAAAATTATAAAAACTCGAGAAAATAAAATTCGTAAAAAAAAAAATGAATAAAAATAATTCAAAACCTTTTATGATTATTTACATAAAAATTCTATCGTATTGTTATTTGTGGGCAAACAAGTAAAGTAAGTAAATCAAGGCTCCTTATTGTTTTGGACATCCTTGAGAATATAAATTAGTGACAAGACTTAATGCTGGTGCACTGGTGAATTTCTAACTAATAAAATTGTTTTAAGGTTCAATTAGACAGTGAAAACATAAGTCGGTGACGTCTTTCGGTATAAAGATCACAACCTATCTTCAATATTTTCTGCAGTGAATGCATTGCGAAACATCAAGAGAAGTTTGATGGACCCATATCGGAATCTTCGCAATTGGAATAGGGGGGATCCATGTACTTCAGAATGGACAGGGGTTTTTTGCTATAACACATCACTGGATGATGGTTATCTTCATCTCAGAGAATTGTACGATTGTAGTCCTTCCCCCTCCTTTTATTTGCTGTATCGTAGTTTACAGATATTAAGTATGTTAAATGTACAATGCATTTTTATTGCTTTCCAAATTGTTAAAATTGTATAACTGCATTGAATTTCTGGATGTGCATGGCCGTACTGTATTGAAATGTACAATAGTGCCACTATTTTACTTTTAAAAAGAATTAGGGTTGGACAAAACTCCCGAACCGAACCGAACCAAATCGACCCAGAGCCGAACCGAGCGGTTTGGATAAATGCTTAATTTTCAAATATAAAACTTCTTCTACTTTGCTTAATTTTTGACTAAATGCTCATTTGAAGTGAGTGAAACCTTATAAGTCCTCCTAAGCAATCCATTATATTAATTGCTAATTCTCAACAGAGGCTTCACCATGATCTGAACCATTATTTCCTTTCTCTGATTCCAGGCTTCTGAATGGAAATCAACTGACAGGTTCCTTGCCCGATGAGATTGGTTTTCTTCCTAACTTGGACAGGATACAAATTGACCAGAACAAAATATCTGGATCTATACCTACGTCATTTGCTAACTTGAGCAACATAAAGCACTTGTAAAGATTCTTCTTTATTTCTGGGCTTTTCTGTTGTTTCTTTAGAGAACCTGTTTCAGAGGTATCAGGACCCATGCTGTTGCCGCCTCTTCGAAATTATTAATGCATTTTCCTTTTAATTGTTCTTACTTGAACAGCCACATGAATAATAATTCACTTAGTGGGCAAATACCACCACAGTTGTCCAGACTTCCAAAACTTGTTCACTTGTGAGTTGAGGATATGAATCTTTTAAGCCTTCCACTGCTTCTTGAACATCTGATTTTAGTTGATGACCTGAAACCTTGCAGGTTGCTTGACAATAACAACTTATCGGGATATCTTCCGCCGGAGCTTTCTGAAATGCCAAGTTTGCAGATACTGTACATATTTACTTTGGTTATTCCATAATGCTGGGATTTTTCTGTATCAGCCATCATGTTTTAGTTTATTTCATTTCTTTCTTTATTTTTATTTTTTTTGCATACTTGCTTTATTGGTTTATAATATAATAATAATTATTGATCAATGCTATTAGTTTATAACCAAAAGTGGCTCCATTTTTATTAGCAAATGAAAAACCTTTGAATCCGAAATGAACCTTTAAATGAAAAAACATGAAGTGTATTTTGTGTTCTTTCTGGAAGATAAACCAGTAGGCTATAGTGGGTGAAAGAAGATGGAGGAGTTCTGCACATAATATTGTTAAGTACTAGTACACCTGAAGTTTCATGAAGAAGAAGTTGCACGTTAATGCAGTCCTGTTGCGTGAGAGTGAGGTTTCACTGTTATTTTGGTCTTTCTTATGATTGAAATCTTGAATAGCTATTAATAAGTTGTATAGCACTCTTGAAGTCCGCACCGGAATCATAATTAAAGTTACCTATTTTCTGTCAAGTTATTCTATTTTCCATAGAAGTTGATGAAGCTAAATTTTGCCGAGTAATGTATATCAAGCTTATGCATGTCCTACCAATTGGACAAACTGACCATCTGGTGATGACAGGCATTCTAGAAATATAAAAATATCGCTTTGACTGTGGGATATGCTTGGGATAATTGTAAAGGAAACTGTGGTGGAAGTTTTCTTGTTAAGTTGAAGAGACGTGTGGCTTCTCTGCCTATCTGAATAAAATTGTGCCACTTGCATATGAGCATGAATGCATAAATGAAACTGTAACATGACTGGTGAGAACCAGTTAGAGCCATGACTTTGTGTCTGTCTAGGCAGTTACTTATTTCGTCCAATTTTTGCATTCATTATCATCTTTTAATTTCAGTTTATTTTACAGTCTAAAATTTATCAACTTTGACCATCCATTTGCAAGTGATAAAAAATTAAACATTTGAATCTAACTGAAACAAATTCAATAGCTGTGATAATTTGACACTGTATGATTGGAAAAAATGACATTCTGTTATAACTCATTCTAAAAATAAATAAAATAACCTTGAAATTAGAAGTTCTATCCATTTCCGGTAGTAGGGATGCCAACTGCGCTAAGATGAGCAAAAATTGATGTATCATCCCAAATAATAGATTCACCATTCGGGGTGGGGGGATTGGCAGTCGGTATTTGTTTATAAGGGTCCGTTTGATTGCAAATGTGGAAAATGAGTGGAAATAAAATGTTTTACTGGGAATTGAATTGCCTAGAATTTGTTTTATTGGGAATTGTAATTAATTGTGTTTGATTGGTATAATTTTCCACCTGAAAAATGTTGAAAGTTTGGTGTCCGTTTGACTTCGTTTTTTTATGAAAATTGTCCATTAAAGTGATAATTTTTTCTACTACTGAGTCTAGAATTTGTTCCAATTACCAAAAAGAAAAAAAAATTAAATTAAATTAGAAAAAATTATCATACCGAATAACATTCGTTTGGCTTTGTTTTGCATAGAATTTGTCAACAAAAGTGAAAATTCTTTTTACAATGGATGATAGAATTTGTTGCCATTGCTAAAAAAAAAAAATTGAAAATTGGTTTCCCACCTAATAGGTGGGAAAACAAAATCAAGCAAATGTGCATCAAATAGTTGTACCTAGAAAAAGGTGGGAAAAACAAAAGCCAGACAAGTTTGTGCTATCAAACACCCTTAATTGGCTAAAGTTGGAAAACATTTTCTAAGCTATCAAATAGGGTCTAACTGATTATGGGGATTGTCCTAATAAAATATGACAGAATATTCAATGACAAGAAATAGTTATACGAAGAAATAAAAAATATTCCTTGATTAACATTTAATGATTATGGAAATTGAAATCCATGCAATGTCCTACTACATTCTTGGCTCTATGTGATAGATAAAGTAGAATACATTATTTTCTTTATGAGAAATGACCAAATAGATAGGAACTAATGTTTTCTTGGCTGAGCAACTTAAAGGGAGAGTACAGGGACCGGTTGGGGGCATGTTATCCTGAAATAGCTCTCAAGGATGTATATACACTCTTCTTTACCTTTACAAAAATTTTGGAAGCTTTCCAGTCTACTTTACCCACATTAATTGAATGTCCTTTATTGTTGTCTTTGTGTAGAAATCCTAGGGATGAATTATGATTGATCATGATTGATATATAATTGATTAAATCTTTCCATAACTTAGGCTGATTGTTAGGCTAATTTCTTGTATCAAAATTAGAAGATTATTTTTTCCTTTTTTATTTTTATTGTTGTACTATAAATAGGGTGTAATAGGTGTATACAATTTAATCAAGGAATAAAGAAAATTCTTATTTCATTCTTCGTGGTATCAGAGCCAATTTTCTCCTAAATCGAGCTAACAATGGTTGATGCCTCCGTCAACAACCAGAAGTCAGTGATTTCGGGAACTCGCACGAGTCGAACCGAGAAATAGTAGGGAGAGAAAAATACTCGATCCACTCCACTCCACTCCACGCATCAGCATCTCAAATTCAAATCAATTGGAAAAGATCATGAAGATGTTAGGATTTTGAAGAGTATCAAACATTGTGGGCAGCCACAGTATCTGATTCTACCGAATTGGAACTCTACACGTGGAATTTCTATTCATTTCACCCATTCCCGTGAGAGCAACAGATATCTAACCAATCAAATGATGTCTTTCTAATTTTTGGGTTACGCTACCATTTTTATTTTATGAATATATTGTTGAAAATGATTATGAAAATTAAAGGCAGATAAATGCTAAATATATTCACACCACGAGAACTGGGCACCTATGTGGCGCCCCCCTATTGGAGGGGGGGTCTGACTCCAATAGGGGGCGCCACATAGGCGCCCTGTT